AGTAGTTAAATATACTGTAAGAATTCCTATGCACAGGAAAGAATAATAATTTTATATGGGAAAATTGGAAAGGTTTCATGGATATATATGTGTATATATATTTTGTCTGGAAATCTGCCCCACAGTAAGAGAATCTAAGAAGCTCACCCAAGATAAGGTTAAGACATGACTTGATCCCAGTTTCTTCCAGGCTCCTTTATTTCACAGACAATAGTGCAGTGAGAGCCAGTGCCTGGGAAATCAAGCAAAAAAATCTGCATAGAAACAAATACTTTTAAACTGGGCAAGTTTCTTCTTATTGGAATAAGGGAAGTAATAGGTTCCATCTTTTTAAATCTTTAAATAAAGAAGAGATTTCATCCTAAAAATACATGTTGCTTACCAAGATGTTATGTGAATACTTGACTTGTCAGAGGAAGTATCAGAAGGAAAACCTAGTTGGTCATAAAAGTTCTTTCTAGTCTTAAAACCTATTCTGGTATTTTTTTCTTAATTTACAAACTTCACAGTGTTATTCATGGGTTTATAAAATATTTTTAGCAAGTATAGAATAGAAACAAAACAATCCCTTGCATAACTATGCTCATACAGAATCTTTTGCCTTTTGTAGTGTTTAGAACCACAACTCTGGGGCCATATCAAGATCTCTGCTGCTGCCACCACAGTGTGGGTATCAATATTAACCTGTTATACTTTATGTCTGATGGTTACCAAAGGAGCTTTTACATACTTTTTTTTTTTTTTTTCCAGGGTGCTACACCGTTAATGAACAGTCCTCAAAAAAATATTAGCTGTCAGCATTCCTGGAGTTTATGCTTGGATTTAGGGAGGAGGCCAGCAATGATATCAGTAAGTGTAGAAAACCACAGGAATTTAATACCATCAATCTGGGTGTTTGGACTTCATGGTTTAGATTTAGATTTGCCTAATGTGGAGAACTGGCCTCCAAAAAAGTATGTCTCTTACTGAAATTGGCTGTAATAGAGAGGCAAAACAGAAAAAAGAAAATTAAGATGAAGGAGGAATGGTGGCAGCACCACGGGGCAGGGGCTGCGGCCGGGACTTCACCCCGAGCTGCACAGGCCTGGGAGCGCAGCCTGAGCCTGCAGAGCCATGAAGGCCCATAAAGACCAACTACCCATGCCGCTGCTGCTGGTACAGAGGAGAGAGAAGAAAAGAAGGCAAAAGAGAGAGAAGGAAACCCAAATAAAAGGAGCCGAGCTGAAAGCAGCCCTCGCTGAGACCACACCAGGCCGTGACTTTGCCACCAGACCCACGTCCAGTGAGGAAAAAAACAAACAGCATCAGACTCCTCCTCTCTGCTTGGTAGAGAGATGATGGAGAGACCTTGGTGCAGCCCTCTGGGCTTTTTGATCCAAATCAAAACTGATTCTTTCTGAAGCAGAACAACACTTTTGCAACTAAACAAACCTCTCCAAGACCACAACTTCCTGCAAAAAGTGATTTATCTCACCCAGTTCCCTATTTTCCTTAAGAACACTGAATCACATTTTCATAATTTTATAATTATGGGGAAAAAAGACCTTCCTGGGCAAGCTTCTGAAGTTCACTCAGAGTTCCTCAGGCTGATGGTATTAAACTAAGGTGAGTTTAGCATCTTCCCTTTAGACAAAAAACAAGCTGGGTTTTTTTTCTGGTTTTGTTTGTTTGTTTCTTTTGTTTTGCTTTTTTGGTGTTGTTTTTTTTTGTGTGTGTGTTTTTTGGTTGGTTGGTTTTTGTTGTTTTGGTTTTTTTTTTTTTTTTTTTTTTTTTTGCCCCCCCCGGGAGCTGGGCTTTTCTAGCTAGGGCAGTTTAGCTTAGCTACTGCTGCTATTTCTGTCTGAACTCTCACTGGTTGGACTATATCATGCACTTTATATTGCTGAGAAATTTGGTGGCTAGTCTGTGTCTTTCTTCATTGCTTTTTGCTGTTTGGTTGCTTTTTTGGTGTTGTTTTTTTTTGTTTGTGTGTTTTTTGGGTGGTTGGTTTTTGTTTTTTTTGTTTTTTTTTTTTTTTTTTTTTTTTTCTGCCTCCCCTGGAGACTGAGTCTCTCTAGCTAGCCCTGGTACAAATTCTAAAAATATTATTCAAAATCTGTCTCCAGGTGCATGTATATCATCTTTGTGGAACTTATTGAAGGTTTATAGTGGAGCTAAAGATGTTACTTTGATACAGGAAGGTAACTAGAATAATTTTAGGCATACATCTTCTGTCCAATGTTAGTGCAATACTAGACTGCTTTTAGGTATTACTAAGCTTTTAATGATAAATGGCTTATTTTAACTCCTTAACCTGCCTGGAACTGTGATCTGAAAGGAAATTACTTTAAATGACTTTAAACCATTATACTATTTTCTTGATGTGTCTTCAAAATCACACTGGCAAGGAAAATTTTGGTATGACTGTTTCTGTATATAAACTTCCTGCTCCATTGTCCTTCATACCTCCCCACACCATCTGAAGGCAAATTCGTATGTCCTAATGTCACAAATAGATACTGAAGGTTGTGCAAGACAAAAATTTAAAATGTATTATATGCACTTTCATGTACATTTTACAATAAAACCTGTTGATTGTTGTAAATTCAAAACATGTGTTTCTCATAGGCTGAATTTCTGTGAAATGCCAAGCATAACCTAAAATATTAAACATATATTAAGGGGTTATCAGCTAAGTACTATGCACAAAGTTTAATAAGTAACCCCCTTCAGGAAGAGTGTTGTTTGACATATTAAATAATGGCTGAATATCTCCAAGAGAATCTGAGCCAGCATCTGCTTTTGCAGCAACATGAATCAGAAATAACTGCTTTAAGGACAATACACACTTCCTCTTGTTTAGATCAAAATGGATTTTGGTGCCCAACCGTCAAGCTATTGGTGTATATGTGTTGGCTGATCACATTCTGAAAACTGAAAGCTGGTTTTTTATACAGCTGGTAAGTCCAAGGAGTGTCCTTTCTATTGCACCAGTAATGAAAACATGCGGAAAATATTTCCATTGCAGTTGGACTCTGTATGCAGTTGTGACACAAAATGTCATTAAGAAGTGAAGCATTTCCTAAAATTCCCCTACCACATCCATATATTATGGTAATTTACTTTGAATTTGGGAATTCTGATCCTCTGTCTTCCAGGTAGGAGCAGTCTTCTTCATCATATTTGTTCCAAAATCTTTTGAATACCAGCTTTGCATTTGCTATTTTTAATGCAGGGTCCAACCAGTTTTTCTTCATTTTACAGGTATGGCAGCAAAAGAAGGAAAAAACCAACAACAACTATTGATTGAATCTGTTGTTCTCTGGGGGTCAGATCTCTTCTCTCTCCTTCCAGCACCCCATGAAAAGCAATAGAAGTGATGTGATTGTATTTCATAAGTTACAGTAGGGCTTCAAACTTTGTAAGCTTGGACAATGTATCCTCCTTTCCTTTCCAAAGCATGAGAAAGTGGCTATTGCACTGAACTACTGTGTTGGATGCAGAAGAATCACCTATTCATTCCACTGCACCATCTCATACTCTTATTACCATGCCAAGAAATGAAGTATTTGTGGCAGATAAATGGGTAGTGTTATGGTGTGTTCTTTTCTGCCATTCCTGAGCCGAGTCTAAACTGCAATTCAAAACCACTCTTTAGGATTTGAAGCTTTAATTCCTAGTCCTGAGCTGTCTCAAGATAACTCTGTACAAATTGTGATTTACCATTGTCCTCCAGAGCTAATTATAAACCTCAGCCAGGTAGTTCTTTGGTGAAATTTTTAGTAAGTTTTTATTTTAGTCTTAATTCTCTGATAGAGCCCTTTAATGATCTTTGTACTGATGCAATGAGGAAGACAATCTTATAGAACCACCTCCTCTGGTTCTATGTCTAGTGTGGATTTCTTCAACCTGTATGAAACTACAGCCTATTTAGACACTAGTCCAGAGCTGCAGCAAAAGTGCTCCCAGAAAGGGCACAGACTGGAGACAGGTATTTCCTGCTACTGAGGAGAAGGAGCATCAAGCCAAAGAGGCAATGACACATGTAAAGAGCCCGAACAAGCTAGAAGGTAGCAGGGGAGACAGTCTAAGGCTGATAGGACCTGGGAAGGGGAGCACGTTCCTCAAGCAGAGGTGCTAATTCTGTTGCTCTGACAGCATCTATATTATTTATTAACTTGAGCAGTTTCATTATCTATTACTAATGTACACAATACATTATTAGTATATCAGGGGCTTAGAGAAGAGTCAAAAGCCCTTTGAGACTGTAGATAGGGGAAGGGAAGCCTTTTAAGGTGAACTAGTTTTAGATTCAAAAGTTTAGCCTTACAACTAATTTGCATGAAGTTTAAATTTAATCACTGTGAAGATGTTTCCTATGTTGTAAGTAGATGGGAAACTCCCTTACAGACTTAGAAAATCCTAAGATAATTGAATTGTCAGGGTTTTTTATACCATATAGAGCCAGAAACAATTCAATATAAATTCTAGAGGTTACAATGGCATGGCTTGAGTAATAATAATAATATTCTATTCCCCCTTGTCTGGAAGCATGGGTATAAATCACAAAATGTTGCTAGTCATCAATAATGCTCCCATCTCAAATTCATATTGAACCCAGTGCTGTGCTTTACAGCAAAGTCATAGACTCACTATGTAACATATGAATGACTTTATATGAGTGTTATGCTGTATGTGTTGTGTTACAGATTAAGTCTTCCATGTTTCATGGCTGTATGAGCCAGTAGGTCCTACAGTAAAGTTTGGGGTCAGTTAAAACTACTGCCTTAACATATATACTGCTTTAACAGACCTCAAACTCCATTGTGGGTGTGCACTGTTGTGTTCTGACCTTGACCATGCCTCTGTTCAGCCTTTGTTTTTCTCCTTGCTGACCTTGCTTCACCCCTTTAGGAACCTTTCAGTGTACTGTGCTAAACTGCAAACATGACAGTTCAGTTTTGCAAAAAACTTGAAGCCAGAAAAAAAACCAAACAAAAATATCTCTCTAGAATCTCTGGTTTAGATTTAATTTTATTTGTTATCTTTTATGAACAAATTACGAAATATACTTCATTCACAAATTGGAAATATTTACATTTTTTTTACAACAAGGCATTGTTGAGGTTTTGATTTATGGCATTCTAGAGCATTCTGTCTTTCAAAACAAAGACATTGGTTTTGTTTTCAGCACACTGCTCATTTACACTCTGAATGTGAAATGGGAGCCTTTTGGAAGAGTAATTAGCACTCTCTTTTGATACGATCTACTAGGAAAAATGAGGCTGGATGCATTTGCAATGTGGGGAGGGGAACTCTGCAGATGTGTTGCTGGTACCATGTCTCATGATCTGAAGCCATCATATTACAAGAGATGCTGCTAAGTGGGGAGGAGAAAAAGATTCCCCTGAGCCATCCTTCCTCTGCCCTTTTCTCTTCTCTGTAGGAATCCTGTGACTGAGCTAAATGTAGTCCAGTTTAATTATTTTTTTTTGTTCTGGTTTTTGAGTCTCCAAGAGAAGAGTCTTGAGAAGTCTGTTTCAAATACCATCATAATTCTGTAAAATTATTCAGAAAAAAAGACAAAAGAAAAAAAAGTGTACCCAGTAAGTGAATAAATATTGTATATCCGCAAAATGTTTAGGAGGCAAATTTTGAACACGTTTCTAAAAGGGAAATGCAACTGTGCTGTTCTGCAGTTGTCATATTTGAACCATAAAAGCCAAGATAATTCCATTTCCTCTTTCTTGGGAGTCTATTTTATTTCCTGAAGAAAATTATAAAACCACTTCTTTCCATGGAATTTTTTAAAATCTCCTAATATACACTTCCATTATAAATCAGATGTGGGCCACCATTGCTTAAGTTGTCTGTCATTTCCTGCAACAAGAATAAACAATTATTAAAATGACAATTATTTTATGGTGTTTTAAATTTAGTTAGTTAAGGTTGTAAGAAAAATTTAACAAACTGAATTTCTTTTAAAAAATTTCAAACATTCAGCAAAACTTTACATTCTTATTTGGCTTGATAAATCTCATTGTAAAAAAACCCAAGAAAACACATTTCTTCCTATGTAAATTAAGTACATTTCAAAGCTGATGGACTCGTTGATACTGATTGAGTTGGACATTACTCTTAGACCACATATACAGCATTGATGGCATCCATGCAAGTTTTGTGACACTGTCATTAGAAAGTGCATCAACTCAAGCTTGTGTGACAATCTACAAAGGAACAAGATGGTAATTCAGTCTTCATTTCCCTTCAAACCTTTTTCTGTACTGACGTGCTACAAAGAGATGCCATTTGATGCTAGTTGGGATAGACAGTTGGGAAGCAGGTCTAGATCCAGACAAGGTCTGAGGATATTGACTGTTTGCCTCCAGATGGGACTGACTTTGCTTTTCCCTCACCATGCCAGACTAGAATTTTTAGCAGTTCAGCACTTGCTACTGAAGTGGCAGATGAGTCATCCTGGAGTAAGCTGACCTGATCATGAGTCAGAATCTTAAAGCACCTCAACCAAGATTTGTTCAGAATTAGATTTTCTAATTCTTCAATTGCAATCCAAAAAATACCTACTTAGCAGCTGTCTAAGCCTGGATATGGCTATATTCATTAAGCACTTCTTTGACCTGAAAGGCTGAGAAGCCACATGGAATTTATGCTCAGAATTGCCTTATTCAGAGCAGTCCTAGGCCTATTTCATGCCAAATTGAATAAGGATGCAGAAATGAAGTGATCTGCTGCTTCTGTCCAATAACAGATCTCTGAGAACATCCAACAATGCCCAAAGGAATGGGCACACATAAAAATGCCATTTGGGGTATTTTTAAAATTCAGGAAAATGAAGTAGAGGTGCCTCTGTTGGTCTAGTTCTAAATACTTGCATGAGACCCGGAAGCTCTTCTCTGTATGGAAAAATTAAATTCCCCTCTTCCACCTCCTAGGTACAGTTGGAAAAATGTGGACAAAAAGGGGCTTGTTTGTCTCCCTTGTGGAAGTTTCTATGAAGAAAGTAAAGCAAGACTCTTGTTGGGTTGAAGAGAAGGAGAGAGAAAGGGCAAGCCTGACCCATAGTAGCATAGTAGCTGAGATTCTTGGTAGAGAAGAAAATTCTGGGAGCTCATCTTTATTCCCAGACTGCCTCATTCTCTCTCTTATTTTAATCCACAATATTTGATTTCTAAATAGTTCAACAGGCAGAGGCCAGAACTTAAATTTTCCTATTAAGTGGAAGCATTGGTGCCTCCTCTCTCAAGTGTCAGTGGCTACATTTTGAAATAGATTACAAGACTTAATTGTTGCCTGGCAAGTTTTCAAAAGAAGGGATCTGCTAATCCTCCTTACAAAGTAAAATTTGGGCCATTGAGTCAGGTAGATTTGCCAATTAATACTCCTCAATCAAGTCTAGGTTTCAGAGAAAAGAAGCTGTATAAACTGACTGAAATTTGAGCATTTTCTAACACCCAGCTCTCCATTTGGCAGGTGATGACATTGTATGTGTGGTGCCTTACTCTCCTCATATACTGAAGAGTATATTATATTATATGTTTATTATACCTTATATATAGATACTTATGTTAGCGTGGCTAACACTGAACTCAGAATCCTGATGTGAGGGCTGCTTGCTCTGAAACAAGGCACTATGATTGCCTATTTGTAGCTACCTAAACCCTCTATAGGATCTACTCTGAAGATACCAGTCAGCTGGGAAGTTTGATAGTAATCTGTCAGAAGATTATTCATGAGCAAGGGTAAGTTTCCTTTTATCAGTTTTATCATTTGAATCCTGTGCAGACATTAGCTATTGAAATATCATAATTTCAGAAAATATTGAAAACAAATTATTTTCCCCAGTATTTCTATTTTTGAAACTAAAAGTATTAATAAACTAAAAAAAATGTTACTGAATTCAAGAAAAGAAGGATCACACAGATTACAAGCGGAGTCAATGGTGGCAACATCCAAATAGGAGCATTTGGATGTCTATAACTAGGGTGAATATTTTAAATACTTAACTTACTTCCAGATTGTGGCGTTCACCACGTAGAATTATGTCACCACCTGGAAGCACCATTCCTGACTCAGAGTGACATCACAGCATCAGCCAACTTTGATTAGCTGAAACTATTACTTCCTCTTAGAGGTGGCCCTTCCTGAAGTGACATAACAACATGGTGTGTCCCTACTGTTCAGCGTACCTTGGAGGTAACTCTGGTGTCGGGGGAACCACCGGGCAGCTGGGCAGGTCGGTTATTTCAATACCCCTCAATCTCTAATATAAATATAACAATTATACAATAAATATAGCACACACAAATGCACATGCAGTATTTGTCTATATCACTGTATATCTGTGTAAATATATAAAAGAGTATTATATAAAAACCACTTTAAAGCTATTTTTATAAAATGCCCTAATTTAATGTAAGTTTTTAAGTAGCCTTCATTATTTTTTGGGACTTGCCTTGAGCTAGTTTACTCAAACCTGCAAGCAGTCTACAGGCTGTGAGTCTAAGAAGTCCCAGGTCAGACAATCTATGCATGCATACTTGTTTCTACAACACACATGTGGGGGTCCACCATCAGTGGGGCACATCCCACATTTGTTGAGCGTGGGCAGTAGGGTTGCTCTGCACATGGAGCATGGTTCTTCACCCAAGATAAATGGGCAACTGGCAGTACTCGCTGCTACATGTCTAAAAGCTCGGTAGGCCTGGAAAGGAGGTGGTGAACTACTGCCATACATCGTCACCTTCAGCCCAAATTGATAGGATGGCAAGTATTTGCATTTTGGAAGGTTTTTCTTCCCAGGCCATTTCTCTTTTCTTTACCTATCTGTTTCTCTCTCAAATGAGCTTAATTGTTGTCCTTGTTGAGGGAAGAACATCTTTGAAAGACAGGATCTAGCCTACCATCTGCAAGACCGTGGTCATATTTGCCAACATAGATCATCAGAATTCTACTTCATTTTAATGTGAGAGGGAGAAATGTACCCCTGCCCTTGATTTTATCATCCCATTTTACATTACTTTTGTAACCTATACTATTTAACATTAAAAAACATGTTTCAAACAGCTTCCAAGGTGAATTCAGGTGCTTGGAGTCTCATCTCAGTTCATTATCACTTAATGGATAATTAACTGCTATATCATGCTTTATTAGGGAATCTGAAAACTTCCTGTGATCTGAATGAATTAATCCTTGCTCTGCTGTTCAAAGTCTCAGTAGATATGATACAGACTGTTGAACTTAACTGTCATGCATACTTTCACATGAAGGTTTAGATGGGCAGTCTACTTTACTTTAGTTTCTATCTCTATTCATTTCTCAAATGAAAATCATTGGATACAAAGTCCAAACATAAATCACAAGGTGTCAGTGAGCATTTTAGTTCTCCAAAGCAAAGCAGATCTGTAACTCCAAGGAGCTGATTTCAAGCATTCTCTTCAGTTAATTCTTTTGGCCCTACATTTTCAACTTTTGGAATGTGAGTTTCAAACACCCAAACATAGACATAGACACCTTGATAAGCTTTCTTTTATCAGAGAAAGGCAGTGAATACTCAGTGCTGCTGCAAGGCAGATCAGTTCAATTTAAGTGTCTAAATATGCCCGTAGGTGCTTAAGTTTAGTCATTCTGGGTTTGTGAACTGTGGCTTTTGTATTTAAATAACCTACTTTATAAGCTGAGTACTTGGGAGAGGAAGAAATTGATTAAATCCTGGAAGCATGCAATGATGTGGTTACAGAAAGCATTCTGTGCTTTTTCATAGTACAGTACATGATAATCCATATTAATAAGGCTTCCAATTATTTATGAAGTTCTATATTTAGCAGTTAAGCCTTTGAACAGCTATACAATGGAATTATGTTGAAAATGGATGTACTTCATTGAAATGGATGTATTGCAAATATACAGTACCTAAAAATAGCTCCATATAATGCAACATCATAAAGCTTACACACAACTGCAGCATTTCATTTCCCAGAAGCTCTTTCTCATATATAACTGAAACCTGAATGCCAGCTGTAAATGTTAACACGTACAGTAGCATTTAAGGAGAAGGGGAACAAACAAGGGAGGAGACACAACTCACTTTTTCTGCCATTTCATGGGAGTGATGCAATGAATGTTCTCTTTCTGAAAACATTCGCCTTTGTTCATAGCTGGCTAGCCGACAAGTGAGCCATGAGGAAAGAGTGCAACCTCCAATTCCAATGCATGCAAGAGACATGGAGGCAAGATGCAAAGAATAGAGAGCAGATGACTTCTTTGTCACAGCACGAAGAAATTGAAAATTTAGGATTCCTCCAATTAGTCCACAGATGCAACAGGCAGAAAAAAGTATCATCTGTCAGGAAAGACAAGAGAGGTCATGTCATAGTAACATTTTTCAGAGACAGATTTGTTCATATAAAAAATGGCACTAACCATAATTCAATGCTTTGAAAGCATAATGGATTGCAAAACACTTCACACTCATTTTTAACTCCCTCAGCTCCCACAGAGCTCCAAGGGAATACAATACTTTCCGGTGTACATGAGTTAAGATTGATGTACCCTGAAAGATAAAGTTGGGTGGACTTAAGTTGCTCATGTTAAAAGCTAATCAACTGAAGAACTACTAGGACACAAATCTTTTGGTTTCCAGAGTTTCATTCAAAGCAATAACGTGACAGAATGTGTCATAATTTTCTATTGTGCAGTTTCTCAACACTCCTCAGGAGTGAACTCCTCACGTATTCACAGTGAATCTCTCTTGCTTTGTGTGCCATCTGACTGCCTTTTGTTCAATTCTAATTCATGCAGTCAGCAGTTTGGAGGCTTACAGGTTTTGTGGGAACTTCAAAAGTGTTCAAGGTCAATGTGCTGGACAAAGAAGCAACAAAAACAACGAAATCTGTGATGGAGCTCCGAAGGTCATTGTGGTGATATGTTTGGTTCTTTGGTTCTTTGTTTGGTCTTTGTTAAAAGACATTATGGAGACACTGCTGAATTATTGTCTTATTCACTCCCCTTGATACTGCTGGCCTGTCAGATGTTGATCTAGATGGGCCTTTGATGTTACTCAACATGGCTTTGTGTATAAACTTATCTAATGTGGTAGGAATAATTTATGGAGCCTTACAGACCACTTCTATAGATAACTGGAATGAGAATTTAATCATGGATGTGGCATTTGGACAGTATATTGCAGTCCACTGGGCAGTGACAATCCCATGAAACTACCAGAACAGACAGCTTTTAGAAACTGCTTATTGTCCACATGCTTTTAAGAAATTAGACTGTCATCATAACAGAATTTAGGTCATTGACAGTCAAAAATAATCTGAGAGAAGTCCTGATTGCCTTCACACTTATGCTGGTTTTACAGGAGTTCCATCTGTATGTGTCAGAATAATCAAGCTGACAGAAAATTAAGTCAGACATAATCACTTACAGTAGGATCATGTCTTTAACATAAAGTTCAGCGGTGACTTGTGTAGTAATAACGCTATTTTGCTGCAGTCAGAAAAACACTGTACTTATTCTTAGAAGACACAGAAAACATCTGCCATCACTTTAAAACTGGCTTATGCATGATTCTGATTGCAAAAAGAACTTACTAAAATAGTGAACAGCTATGGTATCTAGAAACAGACTTTGTTAGCAGCCTCTTTGAGGTGGCAGCTTCTTTGTGGTGGCAGCCCAGACATGCCACAGTTCACAGAAATGGGTTTTTGAAAGCAAGAAGCTGCAATGTAGTTAAGTTATTGGGGAACTTTTTATTGACTTAGCATAAGTTTGTATCAATAGGTTTTCATCAATATTTGTCCAGAAGAGGGTAAACAGGGAAGAATGACTTAAACAGCCATAAACAAAATAGGTCATTTCATCACTGTCTTGTTTTGCTTGATTAACCCAAAGTGCTGATTGCTGTTTTGGACTGCTGACTTGCAATTTTTATTGGCTTTTTATCAGAAACACTTGGACACAGAAAGCCCCCGGCATGTAGTTCAAGTTATGCAGTGGAAAAACTTACAACAAGTCCGGATTTTTTTTTGGCGCACAATATTCCACATATGCCACAAAGCAGAAACTGCAAAGAAAAAAACACACAACATCATCAATTATTTCATCATTTACAGTCTCAAGTTTAAATCCTGCTGTCTTGCTGCAATGGTGACCACAACAGTATGTTAGGCAATGGTAACAGTCGTCAGCATTTTTATCACAAACCTTATTTTTCAGGAAGTTATAACTCAACTATAAACACACTTATCAGAGAAGACGAAACTGGAATGAGAAGTCAGACTGAGGATGATTAATAATAATCATCATCAAAAAATTTTTAAAACTCCTACTTTTAAGCTGCTTTGGTGAGCAAGGCATGAAAAAAAACCCCAAACAACTATGCGGCAATGAAAAACGCCTTTTTACTCTTTTTTTTCCCTCAGAAAAGTTTAGCAAGGTCGTAGTCAGCGACCCAAATAATCTACTTCTAAGCATAGCTGAGGTACTTAATTCCTTGATCCTACTGTGTGAAGCACTGAAGGATCATACATGGATTGTTGTCCTCAAGAAAGTGGAACTCTGGGCAGCACTGCCATTCAGTCACCTCTGTGGGTGCAGGTGTAAGTCTGAGCATATCTTTTGGTGTGGGTACACGGAGTGTACAGGCAAACCTAGTTTAGGTTCTACATGGCCCTCCTTGCTGAAGACAGCATGAAGATATCTGTACTTTCTTCATTAATTTCCCTTTCAGTAACCGATCTGTCAATTGTTGCATCAAGCATTAGGCAAAAACTCATTAACAAAATCAGAAACATCACCTACCAGCTGACATGAACAGGTGTTAATGCTTTTTAGTGACCTACACCAAAGATGAGTGACATTCTCTGATGTCACTTCTTCCTCCTACAAAAAAGTTTAACAAGGGAAACTGAGAAGAGTCCCTGAGTAGAAGTCATGGCAAGAACTACAGTAGTTGTATGAAATCAATAAGGCCTTCTCCAAGTGTTTGTAATTCTGTCAAAAGATTTCCCTGATACCTCATAAATTCCATTGGTAAGAAATCTGTGCTGCTTATTTTCAGTAAAGCTAACTTCTATTGGGAAGTAATCTTATGGTTTTAAAACTGGATTTTTTCCACATCCGTTTTGCACGGACGTGGTATTTCTAGCAAAAGGCTCTACTTGACCTTGATTTAGGATTAAATCACAGAACAGACCTGGCTGTTACATAAGAAGTGAAAAAAAAATGAAACAGTTCCTGTACATCATTCAGTGTCTGTATATTGTGTTGCATCTGTATCTCATTTCCTTCCAAAATTTTGCTGTTTCAGTATCTCAGTTGAAGAGGTGCTTGAATACACAGTTCATCTCCCTCCAACTAATGTAATTCCTGGATATAGCTAAGCATAAGCCTGGAGATGTAATTTGAATCAGTTCCCACAGTTGAATATAGTTAAATTTTGTATATTATTTACCACTACGCTAAACATGAGATGTGGGCTTAATACCAATCTGATTATGGAGAGGGCTGGATCATCTAGACCATGGGGCTGAATGGCTCAGGACATACAACTGGTAATTGCCACTACAGCTCACTTATTGGAATAACACAAGAATC